GTTAGTTGCCAGCTTGAATTTCAGTGAGGAAGGGGCTTTCTATAAGCAACTCCACAGGAAGAAAACTTTGCATCTTTAAATTCTTCATCTGTGGAATGTGATAAGGATGTGATTCCCATCCTCCTCTCTCAACAACTATAACTGGAGGCACAAATACAAGGAGACTTCAAAAAGTGTGTGGAAAATGGAGTTAAGAGATAACTTTATTTTGGTGCGGAGGTTTTTGAAATTCATGCATACAAGAGGTCTTCAAGAGTTTGTGAGAAATGCATATTATGAAATATCATAGATTTAAAAACTATTTTTTGCAGCAAAACACACTTGTCTTTTATTTCCATTTTTCCATGACATCTTGAAGTATCCTTGTACTGCTTTTTTTTTTTTTTAAGATTTATTTATTTATTTATTTGAAAGTCAGAGAGAAGGAGAGAAAGAGAGAGAGAGAGATCTTTCTTCCACTGGTTCACTCCCCAGCTGGCCGCACTGGCTGGAGCTGTGCCGTCCGAAGCCAGGAACCAGGAGCTTCTTCGGGGTCTCCCATGCGGGTGCAGAGGCCCAAGGACCTGGGCCATCTTCTGCTGCTTTCCCAGGCCACAGCAGAGAGCTGGATCGGAAGTGGAGCAGCCAGTTCTCCAACCTGTGCTCCAACCTGGGATGCTGGCACTGCAGGTGGTGGTTTAACCCACTGTGCCACAGTGCCGGCCCCTGTGGTTGGTTTTGTTCTGGTCTGGCCAATTCTACTCCCTGTTTACAGATGATCTGCCAAAAGAGACTTAGGGTCTGGTTGCTAATGTGCCCAGTAGCCAAATCCATCATGCTTGTGGTTGTTTAGAGAGTGAGGAAAGACTCCCAAATTGCATGATTCCTTGGAGTTTTGAACTTCTGGTCATTGCCCATCTGACTCCTACCCCTAAGGTAAATCCAAGGGTCTTAGTAGGTAATGAAATCCTGACTAGAAAGTGTGGCATCTTCATGGCAATTTGAGGAGAATCCTTTGTTTTCTCTGTGCACCTTGTGTAAGGTATTGTTGTTCCTTTATGTCCAGATGTCAAATTTATAAGTTCTGGGCTCTATTAATAATAGAACTTCCTTGTATAATAGAATGCGTAGTTGATTTCAATCTGGAAGTGGAAAGAAAAAGAAAAATGGGATAATTTGTTCATGTAAATTGGAGATAGAAAAGAAAATGAATTTTTTTAAGCCTCAGTGACTAATACTAAAGGGAGGTGGAGGGGCTGGTGCTGTGGCGTAATGGGTAAAGCCGCCGCTGCCTGCAGTGCTGGCATCCCATATGGGCACCAGTTCAAGTCCTGGCTGCTCCACATCCAATCCAGCTCTCTGCTATGGCCTGGGAAAGCAGTAGAAGATGGCCCAAGTCCTTGGGCCCCTGCACCCACGTGGGAGACCCAGAAGAAGCTCCTGGCTCCTGGCTTCGGATCAGCACAGCTCTGGCCGTTGTGGCCATCTAAGGAGTGAACCATCAGATGGAAGACCTCTCTTTCTCTCTGCCTCTCCTTCGCTCTATATATAACTCTGACTTTCAAGTAAATAAATAAATCTTAAAAAAAAAAAAAAAAAAGAAAGAAATTAGAGGTGCTTAACCTGATGACTAAAAGATGGAAGCGAGCATTGTGGTAGAGCAGGTTAAGCCACCAACTACAATGCCAGCATCCCATATGAATGCTGGTCCAGGTTTCCGCTGCTTCACTTCCAGTCTAGCTCCCTGCTAATGCCCCTGGGAAAGCAGCATAAGATGCTTGAGTGCTGGGGCCCCTGCCATCCACATGGGAGACCTGGATGGACTTCCAGGCTCCTGGCTTTGGCCTGGCCAACTGTGGTCATTGTGGCCACTTGGGGAGTGAACAAATGGGTAGAAGATCTCTCTCTCTCTCTCTCTGCCTTCCTTTGTGTAACTCTGCCTTTCACGTAAGTGAAATAAATCTTTAAATAGTAAATAAATAAAAGGAAAGAAAGATAGAAGTGATTTGCAGACATCCTGCCTGCAAACCCTGTTCTTTTTCCACCCCCATTTTAAGCCCTGAAGAGCCTATTTGAAAAGGAGAGAATAGACCAAGTAACGAACCTGAAGTCCTTATGTCCTTAAGATTTATGTACTTACTTATTTGAAAGGCAGAGTAAGAGAGAGAGGGAGAATGCCTGCAACAGCTGGCACTGGGCCAGCCTGAAACCAGGATCGTGGAATTCTATCTGGATCTAACCACACGGGTGGCAGGGACCCAAGCCCCTGGGCTATCTGCTATCTCCTAGGTGCTTTAAGCAGGAGCTGGATGGAAAGCAGAGCAATCAGAACTTGAGCCAGCACTTCAGTATAGGGTGTGGGTGACACAAGTTTTGCCTTAACCTGCTGCACCACAGCGCCCACCCCCAGCACTATGGCTTTCTAATATACTGCATGTTTTATTGTCTGCTGTTACCCTATCCCCTACCATCCTAAGACTCCATGAGAACAGGATATTCATTTCCTTATACTAAGAAAAAGGACCTGGCACTTAGTAGGCCCTCAATTAATATTGGTGGATTAATGGATCAATATGCATAGTAGTTCTTTTGCTTGAAATTCAATTCTCCAAACTCAAAGATTTTTGGCTGTTACTGCTCTTTCCTTCTAAGTTTAGCACACCACAGTTATTGCTTTGTTGGGATCATTTTGTCAGTCTTTTTTTTTTTTTTTTTTCTCAAACCAAGGGATTTTTCAGAAAGGCAGCTGGATCAAACCAGCTGCCCAGAAAAGCTGGAGGTTGTAGAGATTCTGGAACTATGTGTTGTGCTACTAGGAGAGGTTGGTCCACAATGGGCTTGTTTTTTTTTCCATCCCCAGGAAGACCCTGGGGATACTTTTGTAGAGGATGAAAACTGTTCTCTCTACCATCTATTCCCTGGCTGAGACCCTGTAAACTGGACTACCAAAAGACAAATTAGCAAGAGCAAAGCAGAAAGAAGTTTATTTAACATGTGTGTTGTGCATGAGTCTAGGCGCTCTACTGATGAGTAGGTCAAAAGGATGATTGGCACTTAGACTTGTTAAGTATAGTAAAGGACAGTACATTTTTTTGAGAAGTGAAAAGACATAGGAAAAGGGCTTTGCTGTAGAGACAAACTATAGAAAGCAAACATGGGGAGACTAAATGGTAGATACAGGCTAGTTTTAACAAGTCTCCTTACATAGATTCCTTGGGAGCCTTGTCTTTCTGGTAAGGGTCTCGAGTTGTCCCTGGTGATTAACTTCTGCCTGGTAGACAGGGAAGAGGGGACACCTCTACAAATTTGTACTCTACTTTTTAGGAAAATATAGGGGAGGGTAGAGAGCTTTTCTTGTATCAGCTCCTTTAGAATTCCTGGGACAAAGTGGCATATTTTGGGGTGGGATATTCACTTTTGTGAGTGCAGGTTCTCATGAAAGTCTTCCTCAAGAATGTAGCCTTGGATGAGTTTGCAGTCTCTGAGGAGGTGGGTGACTTCCTGCTGAGGTCAGCCTAGTAACAGAGCAGTGTGGGTCCTGCCTGATGCCTTGACAAAGGAGGGTCATCGGAACCACTCCCTCTAGGTTGTAGCTCTGGAGTTGCTGATGTAAGGCCCTTCTGGCCCTGCCTTCTCCATTCTTACGGAATGGAAAAAGCAGTCAGGTTGAGCGTGCCAGATTCACAGGGTCCACTAAGCTCTTATGTTCAATATTTGTCTCCTTCTGTGTTGGCTCTTCCTTTTCTTTCTTTTCTCACTCCCTTATACTCATGCACAAGCTTCAGAAACTGTCTCTGTTGCGGGATTTTATGTATGAGGTCAAGGCGGCAGCCATTCTGAACTTTTCTAAGAATCAGACTTCTACTCATTTCAGCCATCTAGTACATGTTGTGGGGAAACAAAGCAGGGAGAAGAGACCTGAGACAGTCAAAGACTGAACACAAAAAACAAGCCAGAAATGTGCACATTTTGTTTTACAGATCAGTGCTGTTCAGTAGAAGTATAATGTGAGCCACATCTGTAATTTTTACTGTTCTGGTAGCCATATTAAAAAATAAAAAGAAACAACTCAAATTAATTAGAATTTCTTTTATTTAACCCATGTGTCTAAAATAACTATTTCAATATGCAGCTAATATAAAAATATTAATGATATTTTACTCTTTTGTTTTTGCACTAAGTGTTTTTCATTTGGTCTTTTTTTTTTTTTTTTTTTTTTTTTGACAGGCAGAGTGGACAGTGAGAGAGAGAGACAGAGAGAAAGGTCTTCCTTTTGCCGTTGGTTTACCCTCCAATGGCCGCCGTGGCCAGCGCGCTGCAGCCGGCGCACTGTGCTGATCCGATAACAGGAGCCAGCTACTTATCCTGGTCTCCCATGGGGTGCAGGGCCCAAGGACTTGGGCCATCCTCCACTGCACTCCCTGGCCACAGCAGAGAGCTGGCCTGGAAGAGGGGCAACTGGGACAGAATCCGGCGCCCCGACTGGGACTAGAACCCGGTGTGCCGGCGCCGCTAGGCGGAGGATTAGCCTAGTGAGCCGCGGCGCCGGCCTCCTTCATTTCTGAAACTGAGGGCCCATAAAAGACTTGGGAGAGACACAGTGCTGAGTGTGTTCTGTTTATCACCTCATTTTAACTCCTCAGTTCCATGGGTTTCCCTTCTTGTCTGTGGGGTAGAGTTGCAGCTGGAGCCTTGGAGCCTGCAAGATTCAACCTTGAGGGGCATCAGGAAGCTTTTGCATAGACTGTGTTGGAACTGACCACTTCATGGATATCTGCAGGGGGGCAGTGGTAGCAAAATGCAGGGGGAGCTGTCTGGGCCACCAGTATGCAGATTCCAGCTAGTAGAAAAGAACACAAAACAGAAACCAGAATACTTAAATCAAACACCCCCTTTGCCTTTCCTCTCTTTTGGTTTTTCCTGTGGGATAGGTAGGTGTCATAAACTAGTGTTGTCCTCATGTAAAACGTGCAGTTCCAGGGTGCCTGTAACGTCATGTTCTCTTTCTATCCCTTTTGCAGGCTGAGGAGTCCTGTAAATGTAATGGCTGGAAAAACCCCAACCCCTCTCCTACTCCCCCCAGAGCCGATCTGCAGCAAATAATCGTCAGTCTAACGGAATCCTGTCGGAGTTGTAGCCATGCCCTAGGTAAGTACCTAAACCATAAAGAAACAAGTTTGTTTTTGCCTTAGAGTACTAACTTACTGAATTCTGTGGGGTAACCCACCCTGAACGTGGTTTATTTCTCTATGATGCCACTATAAAAACCTCTCTGATCTCAGGATTTTGCTACGGAGGGCTTCATGTGAGAGACAAACCCAGCACTGTTTGGTCTGATGCCCTATTGTCTCTTCCCCCTTTCAACATGAGCTAGGTTGGGTTTGGGAGTGCTAAATAAGATGAAAAGTGACAAGTGAACCAGTTAGAATAAGTAATGTGTCCTGATTCATTCTGATGGTGGGGGGTGGGGGAAATCTTAGGGTCTTTGATCCTAGGGTTGAAACTTCAACCAGCTTGTTCTTTGTTTAAAAATAATAACTATTATTATCTTCTGATTTCCTGAACTTTCCGGGAGTGCTTCATGCTGTCTTTATGTTCATTAGTTTCCTGTATTTAAGAAGTCTTTCTTCATTGGAGTTACTCTTCATTGTGTTTGTGGAATTGTTTACTTGTCTTTCCCTTTCATCGTATTTGTCCTTGGAAAATAATTATTGTCAGTATGGCAAGCTAGAGTGAGTCAGAGTTACTCAACAGGACTATGCTAATCTGTTGTTCTGTGTCCTAATGTGAATTTTAGGATAAAAATTTTTTGGGGGGAAGGATGACTGGGCATTTAGTTTAGTGATTAAATGCCTACATCTCACATTGGAGTACCTGGGTTTAAATCCAGACTCCAACTTCCTGCTAATGTAGACCCTAGGGAGCAACAGTGATGGTTCAAGTAGCAGAGTTCCTGCCACTCATGTGGGATACCTGGATTACAATAGCAGTTCGTGGCTCTGGTCTGGCATAGTCCTGGCTCTTGTGGGCATTTGGAAAGTGAAGCAGTGGGTAGAAGTTCTCTGTGTGTCTCTGTCTGTCTGAAATAAATAGATGAAATTAAAAAAAATTTTTGGAAATAGTATTTTATTTGAGTAGATATAGTAGGTGGGAAGTTCATTTTTTTCTAGATATTAAAATGACAGTTCATAAAGGATCCTGGAGTATTATTCTACTTTTCTGCCTGCAGTTACCCAGTCTCCCTGAAAGTGTGTAAGTCCAGTTTACCATCTAGTACCACAAGGGCATGGCACTGGGTAGAGCGTTCTTTCCACCTGACAATTTGGAAGTGGGAGGCTTCTTTTGCCATCATCATTTTCTCCAGAGTTTTCTGCTGATATATATATGGGCAGCATCAGTCGTCAAGATTAGTGTGTTGTTAGGTTGAGTCTGGAGTTTCATTTTATACCTAGCAGGAGTGTATTTCAATACTGATAGAGCAAAACAGTAGCACGAGTTTCCCAGGAAGTCACTGCACTGGAGTAACTTTCTAAAACAGGAAATACTTTTAGAGAGCACTGATCACCCAAAAGAAGTAAACACATTGATAAAACATCATTGGGTTGTAATGAATAATCTAGGCTCTGATTTTTGAAGCAGTCAGTACTAAAGAGAGATTCCAGAAATTTCAGAACTGTCTTTGTTTATTGTATACCTGTCTTCACAGTTAATCTATGAGAAGGGAGTGAATACCACTTAGAATTGCCCTAGGCAATATGATGCAATAAAAAGCTGGTATCAAGAAATCCTTAAGCTCTGGGCTTGAACTATATTAGGCATTGATTGGGAAATCCTATTATCCTACATCAATTAACATTTTAAAACAAAATCTTCTTTCTTAGCTGAACAGATTGTCTTCAGAGCATGTAACAACACATGAATTCCCCAAGGCACAAAAAAATGTTTCACAAGAAAGAGTTTGCTTTTGTATTTCTTAACAAACTTTGCAAATAAATGCCTTTATTTGCCAATACATAATCCAGGAAAAGTAAATGTCCTTGACCTGGCAAATCCATGCCAGAAATTTAACCTATGTATACATCAAGATATGCCCTTAAATTAAACTAAAAGGACAGTTACTGTAACCTTTTGTGATATTAAGAAACAACGTAAAGATCCAAATGTAGCAGATAATTGGTTGAATTATGAAAGCTAAAAACAAATCCAATGTGACCATATTGAAAAAAAAAAAAAAGATGTTTTCCAGTGGGGAAACATTCTTAAATTATTAACAAAGAATTGGTCTTAAAGCAGTTTATTTGGAGGCTTTATAGTTTAGCACTAAATTGTAGGATCACCCAGCTTAATTTCAAACCCTAGTGCTAAAATCAGTAGCTATGTGTAGGGCAACATTACTTAATCTGCCTGAATCTCAGTTTTTTCTGTTTTGAAATAATATTGTCGGGGAGTTGAGGAATTCTCTGAGTCACAAAAGAATTTGAGGACGAAACAAAGATAAAAGTTAGCTGACAAATAAGATTTATCAGCAGAGTTAAAGTATACTCAGAGGGAATGGGAGCATCCCTTTGTATTATCTGAAAGGACAGCGTTTGCTGCTGTGGACAGAGTGTTACAAGAAAGGGGAGGGATTTCCAGGAATTTGGTGACTGCTCATTTTCTAATCTCCTAGGAAATCTTGGAAATGTCATGTCATAAGGTACATAATGGCAGTAGGAGTGTCAATCATGGTAAATAATATTCTAATAGGCTTTAGGTCATCTCAGGATGCAGTCGGCAACCATGTTGGGTTTTTCAGCTGGTACCAGGTCTGGGCTGTGGTTTTGCTGCAATACTGATTTTGGGTTGCCGGCCACAGGAGAAGTTTTGGAGGCGATACCAAGGCAAGGTGTGGTGACACATTTCCTCTGGCTGTTTCTATCCCTGCCTTCTTACCTATAAAAACAGTATCTATTTTATAGAATCATTGTGAGAAATAAATGAGAAATCACATGTAAACATTTTAAAATGGTACCTGGCCATAGATATATTATGACGCGTTTTTAGCAGTAATATTACAATTCAAAGTTCTTTCATTTCAAACAGCTTTAAACTTTGTCTTATTTAAATAGGAAAATAGTGTTTATAAGAAGGGTACAAGTATCTCCTTGAAGCTGAAAACAATGGGAAAACAGGTTTTCTGTTCCTTGAGTCTCAGCTGCAGAAATTCCTGGACCTGCTGTCCAGATCGCTGGCACTGAATGATTCAGCCCAAAGTTGCCTCTTTCTCTGAGTCTGTGCAGGGTTTGGATCCCAAGTGGAGAGGATCTGATTGGCGCAAGCTTGCGTGTGTTGGGCCCCGAGTTTCGTTCTGTGAAAACACAGATCCCCAGGTGATGGATTCTGACTCAGGAGTCATGCACTCATGCTTCATGGGATTAATCCCATTTTATTAGTTTGGAAAAAGTCGTAAAAGAAAGAGCAGGCCTCCTGTTTCTCTACCCTCACTCGACATAGAATAACTGACTAGTTTCTGCAATTCTCCAGCCTTCTAAATGCCACATGATATCCTGTTGAGTCCATTCCATTCTGTACCCGGCATCAGATCCTGCAGTTTGAGGGCCCGCTGCCTCCCAGAATGCCCCCTCTTCAGAGGCCAGAGAAGTTCCAGTCTGACACCTGTGCATCTGACCTGTTGTCTGTAAGAAGTTCCGTGAACACTATTCGTGGTTTTGACAGTTCTCTTGGTGGCGCACAGAACTCAGGGAAGCACTTAAATTTGCTGGTTTATGGGAAAAGACATTATTTAAAAAGATTTATTTATTTATTTGAGAGTCAGAGTTACAGAGAGAGAAGGAGAGGCAGAGAGAGGTCTTCTATCCGCTGGCTCACTCCCCCGATGACTGCAATGGCCGGAGCTGCGCCTATCCGAAGCCAGTAGCCAGGAGCTACCTCTGGGTCTTCCCATGGGGGTGCAGGGGCCCAAGGACTTGGGCCATCTTCTACTGCTTTCTCAGGCCATAGCAGAGAGCTGGATCGGAAGTGAAGCAGCCAAAACTGGAACTGGAACCCATATGAGATGCTGGCAATGCAGGCGGCAGCTTTACCCGCTATGCCACAGCGGCCCCAGGGAAAGAACATTATAAAGGATATAGATGATGGTGAGATGAGGGGATGTGTAGGGCAAGGTATGGAGGTCAGGGCCGGGAGCATACCTCCAGGCACATCTATGTATTCAGCAGCCTGGAAGCTCATGAAACGCATCCTTGAAGAATTTTATGGAGTTTAATCTCCACAGTTCCCTGTCCACTACTAACTGCCACCTTCCTAGGAGGCTGGAGGAGGGGGTGGAATAGTCCAATCCTTTAATCCTCTCATCACTTAGTCTTTCTAGGACCAGCCTCCTCCTGGGCTGTCTCGGAGCCCCACCTTACTCACCTCATTAGTGATTCAAAGGGTCTTCTTGTGAACTACAAAGGCACTTCTATCACAAGGTATGAGGCTTTTAGGATCTCCACGACTGGAACTAGGGAAAAGACCAAATATATTATAGTCAAACATATATTTTAGTATACAAGAATAGAGATAAGGTCTAGGGGGGCTGACACTGTGGCACAGTGGGCTAAGCCTCTGCCTGCAGCGCCAGAATCCCATATGGGCGCCGGTTCAAATCCCGGCTGCTCCTCTTCCAATCCAGTTCTCTGCTATGGCCTGTGAAAGCAGTAGAAGATGGCCCAAGTGCCCGGGCCACTGCACCCACGTGGGAGACCTGGAGGAAGCTCCTGGTTCCTGGCTTCAGATCGGATCAGCTCCAGCTGTTGTGGCCATTGAGGGAGTGAACCAGCGGATGGAAGACCTTTCTCTCTCTCTCTTCTCTGTCTGTAACTCTACCTCTCAAATAAATAAATAAAATCTTAAAAAAAAAAAAAAAAAGAGATAAGGTCTACGGGCAAATGCTGTAGCACAACAAGTTAAGCTGCCTCCTGCAGTGCCAGCATCCACATTGGCCCTAGTTCCTGTCCCAGCTGCTCCAGTTCTGGTCCAGCTCCCTGCTAATGGCTTGGGAAAAGCAGCCAAAGAAGGCCCCGGTACTTGGGCTCCTGCTACTCACCTAGGAGACCTGGATGAAGCTCCTGGCTTCAGTCTGACCTGGCTCTGGCCATTGTGGCCAC